ATCTTCCTGCAAGTTTGCGGGAAGTTTGTTCAATGCAAAGTAAAGAAAAGCATCAGTAATTGTTTCTCTTTACCCTTCTTCGTCCCCAGACCACCAGGACATTGCTTCTTGTTCTTTTTCATTTTTAGTTTGGACGGTATTCAACAGCTGCACAATTTGCTCTTCCCTGCGTTCATCCATACGCACAACAGCTCTCTAAGAAAATAAAAATTAAAAAAAAGGTCAATTTCCATCAACATGTACTCAGTGTATCTATGGTATGACATTAATAACATTTGAATATCAAGCTGGTGAGACTCTTTCACATGATCAGAAACTTCCCAGTCGCTCCTGACGAGTAATGTCACCAGGCAGAGGCAAACACACCTTCACTGTGTCAGGCAAAACGCTGAATAAACGTGCCCATCCCTAAACTCGGGCACTGCAGCACAGGCAGACACAAAGCGGGACGGGGCTGGGGAGCGCTCCAGACTAAAGGGCTGGGCCGGGCCGGCAGCGGCCCCGCTCCGGATTAAAACCCTCGGCCGGGCCGGCAGCGGCCCCGCTCCGGATTAAAGGGCTCGGCCGGGCCGGCAGCGGCCCCGCTCCGGATTAAAGCCCTCGGCCGGGCCGGCAGCGGCCCCGCTCCGGATTAAAGCGCTCGGCCGGGCCGGCAGCGGCCCCGCTCCGGATTAAAGCGCTCGGCCGGGCCGGCAGCGGCCCCGCTCCGGATTAAAGCGCTCGGCCGGGCCGGCAGCGGCCCCGCTCGTCTCCCCGCTGTTCCGGGGAGCGGGCTGGAGGCCGCGGGGCGCAGCCGGCGGGGCCGAGCCGAGCCGAGCCCGCGGCCGCCCCTCACCTGCTGCCGGTCCGTCTCCTTGCTCTTCTGGCCCTGCTTCCGCGCGTACCACAGCCCGATCTCGCGGCCCTTGAGGTGGCTGGGGTGGCGCCCCCGGCCGCCGCCGCCGCGGCCCCCGTGTCCCCCGGCGGAGGAGGAGGCGGCAGCGGCGGAGGGAGCCCCGCCATCGCCACCGCGGCCGCGGCCCCAGTCCCGGCGCTGCTCGTAGCTCATGGCCGCCCGGCAGCCGCTGCTACCGCCCGCCTCATCCGCCGCCTCACTTCCGCCCGCCGGGCCGCGGGTTCGAGTCCCCCGCCCGCCGCTCCGCCCGCCCGCCCGCCGGACCGCGGTTCGAGTCCCCCCGCCGCCCGCGCGTACCGCACCGCGCAGCTCCGCAGCCCGCGGATGGCAGCGCCCGAAACACGCGCGGGAGCGAAGCGCCACTGCGAGTAACTAAGGCAATACCTTCACCAAAACATGTCCCTGAGGTTCACCTTGCATGAATGTCTCCTCTCGTTTCCCTTTACAGATCCAGGTTCTGAATTCCCTTCCTGCGGCCGCAGAGATTTTCAGGGAACATTAAACGTTGCTCCCCCATCATGACAACTGGGGTCACCGCCCCTTCTCTGTACCAGAGGGGCATTCCCGGTGTTGCTTTTTAAAATAGAATATACATATTTAAGTATCTACTGGTTCTGGGTCTGCTGGCTGGTTGCTGCTGTATATGGTATACTTTGTCCAAATTCTCTGGAGTGTGGAATTAAACCTTTTAAATTAAACTATTCACAGAATTATTAGTTTTTCAACAGTTAATTAATGTTCTTTCTGTTTCCTTGAATACCACTGTACAGCTGGAAATCCTTCTTCAATCTCAGTTCTTTACGTATTATTTTTGCCTTTTCTTCTTTGTTGCTATGATTTACATTAGTTCGAAAATTATTAGCATTCAGATCTCCGAAATACCATGTTACGCATTGATTTTCAAGCTTCTTTTGGGTAAAGGATGGCTTCTTTCAAAGGAAATCATTTTCTCTTTTTTTTTCTCTGCCTACAGTTTACTTACAGTGATGAGTCCAACAACTCCCAGCAGCTGGCTATGAGAAGAAATAACTAGGTGCTCGAGTTAAAGATTTGTATTTTCTTTTTTCCTTTCCCCTCACAAAATGCATCCAGGTAGCCACCTGTCTTGCTGCTTGGCTTATCCTTTTCCATGCTTAAGGAAACATTTATTCCCATGGCCATAAGACACGCAAGCCCAAATCACGCCGCCTTCTCGCAGCATCCACCTGTCGCCTTTTCCTCAGAGACGCCTCCGGTGACGGCCCCGAGCGGCACGGCGGCCGCGGGAGCTCTTGGCGGCGGGTGGCAGAGGGCAGACGGGGCCCGCGGCCCCGAGGACGGAATTGCGCCGTGCTGGGACGAGAGCTGCAGCGCGCGGCCGTGGCCGTGCAGACCCGGAGCTTCTATCCCAGCGTCTCCGGAACGGCACGGCATCGCAGGGAGCGTCTGTGCAGGGAACGTCGCGTGGTTGGTTTTTAGCTATACCCGGTTTCGGGTACAAGGCAATCTCAGAGAAGCGCGGATTTTAATTTAAATAAAGAGACCAGTAAGGAAGAGAGAGCAAGACCTCCTGAGTCATCAGCGCAGGGAGTAGCTGAACTTTGGGTGAGGTTACCCGGAGAAAAGACCAAGAACAGAGAGTACAAGGACTGGAGGATACTGAGGAAGATCATTTGAAAGGCAAATTACAGGAAGGAGCGTGGGAGAGAAACGAGAAATCTAGGAGGAAATATACTCCTTCCTTACTTCTGCTCTCCTCATCCTGCAGCTGTGGCTTATTGCAGACTAGGGAAGCACACTCCATGGCTTCTTGCATTAGGCATCCTCCGTGAACTACCGGTAATTTCACAGCATTCTTCAAAAGTCTCACAGTGACAACCAACTAGGGAGTAAAAAAGAGCTGAAGAAAATTAGCACAAAATAAATTCTCAGAAATCTAGGGAATGTTGAAATGCATTGGTGGCATAGCTCTACAGGCCCAACAAGGGGGAATGGCCCAAGTCCTTCCGGACGGGCAGAGCGGGTAGGACGCTACGCGGGAACATCCTGCTGCCCAGGTGTGAACGTCAGTGGCACGACATGACCCCCCACACCCCAACTTGCCCCCCCCCCGGCCTTCTTTAGCCTGTAGGTGAATATAAATGGGGGCAATGCTCATCTCCAGGTCTGTTATTTAGACATACCAGGGCAGGAGACGTGTCAGATGCTACTCTGAAACCAGGGAAGCCTGGAAGGAGAGGGCCCCCGCTGCGCACCCGGAACAGGCCCCACCAGCCCGGGCTTGCGGGACGCACCTCGACACGCCGCCGTGCCTCGGGTTAGCTCCTGCATGCCTCGGGAACTGCCAGGAAGTGGGTTTGCCTCTTCTGTCTCCTTAAAATTATTGAAGAAAAATGTTCTGGGGTTACTTTGACTCACTCGGGTGACTTAACAGATTTATTCTGTTTGATCCAGTATCTCCGTGACAGTGTATCTGGACACCTAAGCAGTGCAGACGTTTGAAATAAATGGGATTTTAGTGCAAGAGGAAATTTCCATATGCGTGCATGTAGCTACTGCATTTCAGCCATGTCTTTTCAGCACTCTGGAAAAAACACACATTCTAAAGAAAACATTACAAATTCCAGTATTTTTAGTAGATTTGTAAATTTAGAGGTTGGAAAGATAGTGAATGTGCATCTATTCACATAATTTTTTAATATATATGCAAAGATATATTTCTTTAAATGATCTGTATAGTTTGCATATTACTGGGCCTCTCGAACTGCTTTTAACCACTGTTCACATTCAGTTTTTCTCCCCTTCAGGAGCACACTGTCACGATGTGAAGCAATGCATCTGTACCTAAGGCTCTCTGTGCAGCAGCGTGCTCTCAAGGAGGACAGAAGATGGTGTTCTCCTTTCAGGACTTTGAAGTGAGATTCCTTGAAGTCAGATTCCTAGTGAGGAAACATCAAACCCGTCAGGTAAACACTGAGAAGGGGGAGACAGGACAGAAGAGGATCCCACGCTACAGCTCTCAATCCGGTGAGCAAATCTTGCTGCTGCACACCAGGAGTGCTGCAGCCAACGGGACTGTCTCTATCAGTAAAGGTTGCTTCTACTAGGACTGAATGTCTTTAAAATTAGTTTGTTTCATAAAACATAGAGTGTACAACATACAGGAGTATTCAGATATGGGTATTGTAATTCTTACAGGAGCTGTTGCTTGAGTCTAGAAAAGCAGAATTTATTCTGCTCAGAGACATCTAAATCTGCAAAATTCATTAAGAGAGAGGAACACAGCACTCAACCAGTCATCTTGGAAATCATTATAGTGATACATACCGGGAAGTGAAATCATGTTCCAGAATCTATGCACCAACCCCAAATCTATAAAGGTAAAATAATGTATAAGTAACATTTATTATTTTTTATGAAATTACTGTCTTCTGAAATAGTATGATTCTTTAAGATATATTTTCTATCAAGATTAGTATGGAAAATTTACATTTCCGCATTTGGCTATGTCCTTTATTTCAAGAAGCACAATCCTTTGAGGCATTTGGGATTCTGGGGCCTGGTCCTGCATGTTACAGATTTCTTTTTCTTGTATCTCTGTAAATGTAATGTTATTCTCAGTGCACATGAGTGCCACTGAAGGGGAACTCTGACCCACTGGATACACTGCTTACCAAAGATTATCTCAAAAATTATCTCCCATTTTCTTGTTTTCTATCCTTTGCATTATTCAACAACCCACGTCCTAGGAGCAGGGGAAGCCCGGGTGCTGATTCAAGTCACGTTTTCCACGGGATTTTTTTCAGTCAGTTGCTGCGGTGTTTGAACAGAGCTGAGGTCTCTTGCAAGTCACCCTCAAATGGTCACTGAGAAACACTTTGCCCTCAAATGTCAAGCTGTCACTGAAATACATTAAAAGGTCAGACAGGGGCAAAACAACAGAGGAGGCAGAAAAAATTTTTGCTTAAAATTTCTTATAATTGTTTTAAAAATTAAGTCCACATGATAAATGAAGACACCTTAACACTTACGTGAATAAACAAACCAGGAGCAAACTTTCTCAAACAGCAAGGTTTCTGGTGTGTTGTGCAAGGAGCTGGTATCTATTCAATAATTACAACTTGCATTTTCAGACACTTGAAATTGTTTAATGATGTGAGTCATTTAGAGAAAAAAAATAAAATAAAATAATCAGACATTTGTACATGATCAAATTTACAGATTCATTAAATAAAATCTATGTTTTATTACAGCAGCAAGACAACACTCTACAATTAGGTCAAGCTCTGGGTCAGAGCTCTGCAGAATTTTAATGCCTCCAAACTTTAACCCTTTGTACATCCATCCATCTGAGATGAACACTCCACCACGTAACCTTGTTAACACAGTCCAAATCACTTCCAGGGAGGACACAACACCTGACCAAACTAAAGTTGTGATGGACTGCATCCTGCATCACAACGTTGCTGCCTTTATCTGGATCGAGCGTGTCTGTTGCGATAAAGCCACTTTCCACGTTCCTTCTACAGAACACAAAGACAAGCAACATATCCAGAGACAGCAGAATGTGTGTCTCTGCTCTTTGTGTAGGGATATAGATTTATTCAATGGACTTACCACCGATTGTTCCTTCTACTGTAGTTTCTTGTTAAATCTGAAATGTAACATAGCGTCTTAGTGGAATTAAGAGCCTTGGGGCAATCTTCTGAGAGCCCTTGTTTTCCCCTTGGAAAGGCAGCACACGGAAAGCACAACTCGCAGAGTGATCCATCGCAGCAACCTGCAGTCTTCGACCCTGATTTTCTTCAGTGCTACATGACTGTCACACTAGCCCACCCCACTGATTGCAACGGCAAAACCTGATTTATGTTGGTGAGGGGAGAAGGCAAGCCATCTGCTTGTTCTCAGGCCTCCAGACCAAGCACGGAGTGCAAACAGACACAGTATTTGGCCCTTTTGCTCTGCCTGTTCACAAGCCATAAAGGAATCCTGAACAGGGTTGTGCTTATTTTCCCTTGCATGTTCCCACTGAGTGGAAAACAGGTTGACTGCAGACACTAAATGGTTATGTCGTAACACGTACCACTGGGAATTAAATCTATTCCTTAAAGAAGCAGTGTGATTTTTAATCAAACTGCTGAAAGTCCTGAGAGTGTATTTACTTCTGTTTAACTGAGATGAAAGACAAGCCCTCCAAAAAAAAAAAAAACCTCTCAGTCAAAATGCAGTAGCATTTCAAGCATATGTAGCATATTTAATGTAAGACTTGAGAACTTCATTCACTGTTTCCGCTTTGGCTTGTCTGGATTTGACACAAATTAGAGAATTCACCAGTTTTAGGTTGGCTTTAGACTTAGCTTTAGGTTCCTTATAAATCAGTAGAGAGACAGGCTCCTCCTGAGGGCGATACAGGCTGGGACCTGATTTACATAACCAGACTGCTCTCTTGAGGTCGGTGTCTAAGCTCAATCTCGTTCAAGTGGCCACCTTGAATAGCTCCTTCCCCCTTTCCTAACGAGTCCCACATCAGTTGTATTCCCCAGCTCCTGACTCGGATCTAAAGCATGGGCATCCATCCAAAGCAGAGTGATGACAGGTTTACTGACAGAACATACATAGCAGAAAAAACAGTAGTGTTCTTGCTGTGAGCCAGTGGTGGGACTTCTGCAACTATCTGCAAACGACACCCGCCCTCGTGGTTGTGTTGAGGTTGAGGAAATAGCAGCTTCACACAATGTTGTAAAACTATTCCTTGCTTAGGGACGACTCAGACGTGAAGAATTATTCAGATTAATTTTGACATCTTAGCTCTGCAGACATTTCAAATGCTGCCTTTATCTGGATTGAGTTGCAAATATTCTGTAAGGTTGGGAAAATTCTTAACTTGGGAAAAGATCATGGAGGCAAAAAAAGGGGACTCTTCAGAGTAACTGGCATAAAATTAACCACCATTTGTCACATTTGATCAACAAAATGTTAACCATGAGAACACTCATAAGTTTCACAATGTCGTATTTACAAAATGTGCATGCTTACATTTCAGACACCCATATTCAAAGGTCTATACAAATGCCACTTACGTATGTATTACATATGAATCTGGTATAGAGCAGTAGAAAATGAAACCATTTACATATCTTTTAATCCTCTACTTAGTCAACTAAATGAGCTAGTCTTAGGTTTGAGCTACATTTTTTCAGATAAATGTTTCAAGTCTGGCATGTCAGTAAGAGCAGATTTGCAAGTCAGCCAAAACTATTGTATCTTCACACCTGTGGAGCTGCTCCCTCACTTTCCACAGGCTCCCACAGACAGACAGCCCAGTGCCAACAAGCCACCAAAGCTGGTTTTTAAGACTTTGTTTAGGATTCCTTTTGGACACGTGTTCCTTAAGTAAATAGATATATAAATAATTTGAAATTCACTGTTCAAAGCTGTAAAGCACCTAAGTATGTTATCCAATCCATATATCATTAAAAGTTTTAATCTATTTAACGGTGTATCCAAATAAAATTAATCTGTTAGGAAAAAACAGTTGACATTGTATTTGCTAGGGTAGCTTGAGTCAAGAGGAGCAATGTCTGTCAAATCAGTTTAAATGTCTAGATTAAATGCCTTTTAATTGCTGTTGCCATCTTCTTCCCGTTTTCTGTATGCTTTATTCAACATTTGTATTTCTTCCTGATAACCACCTCTTTCCATATGCTGCTTTTTACTATTCTGCCGATGAGCTTCAACAGTGTCTGGAATCGATATGTTAATATCGCTGTCAGGATTGTGTGATGGTATGAAGAGGGAGTAGGAGGCAGTTTCCCCTAAATCACACGAGACAAACCTGTTTTCTTTCCGTGAATATCGTAAGGACGGAGACCTTACCTGTGTGGAGGACTGGCTGATATTACTGATGATTGACACAGTATCCAGGGCCTCTTCATTGTCACAAATTTCAAGTACCTCTAAATGAATTTTAACGCTTGTGTCAGCAAACGTATTAGGAGACTCCTCTGGGTTTGGCTCGTGACCAACACTTTTAGATCGATACACTTCAATTTTCTTTGACGTGGGAGTTATTTTTTGCCCTTCAGTGCTTACCTCATATGTGGATAAAGAGAGCGTTTTTCCCGTGGGTGCCTGAAGAGATACAGTTCCTTGAAAGGCACACAGAGGGATAGCTAAGGCCCCACCTGATCGCTGGAAAGAGAAAGAATGACCATTATCTACTGCTAACTTTTGAAGTTAGAGTCAATTATAAATAAGCCAATTATGCTCAGTTTGTTAGCTTATCTTACTGTTGTAGACTTTTCCTTGCAGTATTTTAGAAACCTGGTATTTATGACTTTAAAGAGTAGAAAGAAGTGGTTTATCATTATACACTTTAGTATAAAAAGTGAAGTCCCAAGTGACTGTGCCTCAGCTACAGCTTATGGACACACACACTTTATTAGAATAGTCCACACTTAACGTTTCCTTGCAGCCAGTCTACAATGAGCCAGCCAGCAGCAGCAGGCACCTCTTGTAAGCAGCTCAACAGAAGAATGTTACGAATAAAAACACTGTTAGCCCAAAAGAGGGAAGAATGCATTTCTGGTTTTATGTGTAGCCAGGTAAAATTGATTATTACTGAAACTACTTTCAGTATAAATTTCTACTGATGAGAACAGAATGTGACCCGTAGCTTGTTCTTGATATCATTATTAAATACCCATTTGTGCCTTTTATGACACATCCATGGCAATAAATAGGAACTTATTAGCCAACCAGACTATACTGGTACATCCTGTGAAGAAGTATTTTATCTTCCACTCCTATTGTTACCTACAGTTCAGCTTTATGATTTTAAGCCTTACAACGCAATTTAATTCTAAAGCAGTAGGAAGAAGGAGCAATTTGAGTAACGTTTAACAGTGGCCTTCAGCTCATCCATCCAGGTTCCTGTATCTCATCTCTGCATTATTTTAGCATGAATAAGAGCATCCACAGTTGTAGAAGGGTTATGATTCATTTTTACTTCAGTGGAAAGAGAAAGAGATCCACTGTGCTGTTTCTGAACATCTGCCACCTCACTCCCCACAGCCTGGGCCCAAAATGCTTTTTGAAAGGGTACTGCCCCACTGGGCTCTTCCCACACTCTTTTGCCCACATACTTTGTATTCCTGTATTTAAAATAAAACCTGGTTTCTAAAAGAAATAAACATATTAACTCCTCCCACACAACTTATGCTATGCATTCTCTTTTTAAAGCACTTAAACACAGATGTTTGTAAGAAGGTACAGAAAACTTACAGCCACTTGTTTCTTGGATCATTTTCAGAAAGACATTTTGATGCTACCTTGACAATGCATGCAGGAATCGGGCACTAGCGTAAAGGTAAAGAGCTCTGAAATAAAATAAACCCTATTTTTTCAACCAAAGTGCCATTTTGCAGCTTTTGTGTCTCAGCAGTTTTGCAGCGTATTACAAACACAGATATAATTATCATTATTCCTAAATAAAATACAGAATTTTTTCTACACCGGTCTTGTGTTTATCAGAGTGAGTAATACCCGGCTCTGTAGTACTATCACAAAGACACCCCACAGCTGACGTGCATTCCTTCTGACTCCCGTGCATCCCACACCAGTTTGGCATCCATGGCAACCTCACAGGACAAGGAAGCCTTGCTATCAACGATTCTGAGCCTGTGAAGACTTGTCTTTCCGAGACCCTACTCGCTCTCAACTAGGAAAGGTGCAGGAAGGATCAGACACTTATCTGACTGAACACAGCAGATTTAAAATTAAGTCTCTTCTGGTTCTTACATCCACTTATAGATACCTCTTCTCTGCACGCACACATGCAGAGATACATACAACTATTTATTTATTCATTGCACACACACATATGTATATGAAATATTTCCCCTTTTACAATTAATTTCTTAATTTCTGGTAGGATTGAAAGGTTTCCATTTGGAAATGCCCAAATGTTTCAATTTAAAAAATCACAGCGTTCCCCAGTCAAAACACCCTGTAAGCCAAAATTGCTGTCTTTATGCTGAGGCTAGCTTTAACTGAATACCACAAGAATATCTGCTGGGTCTCATACAAGCTGCAGTCCAGCACTAAATCTCAGCGATCCCTCTGGAGGACTGTTTTCTGCAGGTTTGCATCACAGAAACAGCAAGTTGCTAATTTTCAAAGTTTCTTAATAAATATCCGCGTGTGTTTCCTCACTCGGGGATGCTGCAGGGTCTCTAGTGCCGGGATGTTTGCCACGAGCTCCTGCCAGCGGGAACTGGCCCTTCCCTCACCTGGTTTTACCTTTTGGGGAGGGGGTTTATTTCCACCACGTCCTGCCACAGGGCATACCCCTGCGCAGCTCCTGCCCGAGGTGGCTGGAGGCTGTTCTGTCTGTGAGAATCTGGGACAGGGATTTCACCGGAGAACTGCATGTACCAGCACATGCATTTTTAACAAGCAAAGACAAAAAAACTACAATGAAATAAATCACAAATGTACTTGTTCCTTAAGGAGTGCTGATGCATTCTGCACAGAGAAATCTCTGCATAATTGATAAAGCAAATCCTTTCATTCTTGAATTAAATTATTCACCTTCCATATTTCACGGAAGACAGAAAGTAGTTGTTGCTATGAGGCAAACCTTCCTCACAATCACTGGGGTTTAAGACAGGGCTCCCCTGTCCCCCTCCGGCCGCCTGAGCGGAGTTTGAGCTGGATTCACCAGGGGAGGATGCTGTCACCCAGGGGAAGATGCTGTTGCCCAGGGGAGCATGCTGTCACCCATGGGAGCATGCTGTCACCCATGGGAGGATGCTGTCACCCAGGGGAGCATGCTGTTGCCCAGGGGAGCATGCTGTCACCCATGGGAGGATGCTGTCACCCATGGGAGGATGCTGTCACCTGTGGGAGGATGCTGTCACCCAGGGGAGGATGCTGTCACCTGTGGGAGGATGCTGTCACCCAGGGGAGGCCCCAGCCTCTGCAGAGGCCGTAACCGAGCCCACGGTGGTTGGGCAACAGCCCCTGCAGAAAGGTTTCTGTTTGGAAACGCTCAAAGCAGTGAGAAAGGGCCCACCAAGAGCCATCTGACCGATGGTTTTTAAATGATTCTACTAAGGCCATTTATGGAATCTAGAAATTCCACAGCCTTCCCCGTAGAGAAAATAAGGTTTTGAGCCCTATGGCTTTTCTGAAGGGGGGAGGGAAGGAAAGGGGAAGGTAACCTTTACAGAATCTGTTACTGTTTTTCTTCTCGCAAACTGGCAAAAACCAAAACACTCTGTTCAGATTGGTTTGTCATGAAATAGTTAGACTTATATGAAATATTAATAAAGGGGTATTAAGCTGCAAGTACACTCGAAAAAATTTTAATTTCATCACTTGCCAGAGCAGAGCCTCGTTCCGCATGCTGGTAAGTGCCTCCCGAGGGTGCACGGCATTCCCTCTGCTTCCCTTCAGTGTCTGCAGGAGTTGATCAGCAATTTGCAGAGCTGGGCACTTATAGAAAAGTCAGGAATGTATGACTGCAATTAACTTTGAATACTGTTTCTGATATATCTACATGTGATATACAAAATAATTTAAAGCTCTAGTTTACAAGTGATCAAGAATTTGTTCTGCTAGAGGAAGCCTGGAAAATTCTTGAAGGCTAACATACTAATATTTCAAGCACTAAACATTTCTACATACTTTTTGCATTTTATATTAAGTGTAACTGGATTCATCCTGTGGATTCAAACTCAGTGCTCGCAGCTCTCCAGTGCTTAGCACCTGCAGAGACCATCGTCCAGTCTGGATAAGCACACACTTCCCAGGATTTCCTGGTAATTTTTTGATTCAGGGAGCAGATGACTGCACAACTGGGAAAGCATGAACAGGTCCATTCTCCAAACATATTTATCAATTCATATTTCATCGCCTGAGAACAAAACTCGCTGTTCCAGAAGCGGATCCTTAGCTAGGTAATTCTTGTTAGCAACTGAAATCAAAGATCAACCGTTCAGAGCCCCATGACCTGAATGGCGGCTCACGTAGCTCACAGCTCGGTTTGATTTTAAAGACAAGAAATTGCTGTTGCAGTGTGGTAAAGGCCAGTGGAGAAAAAAAAGGTTAACTGGGGGAAGAAAGAAAATTCCTAAGAGCCTGGAATTCCTACACAATCAAGGAGAAGGAGAAAACTTGTTTGGAGGATACTCCAGTGCACCGAAGCTAGGAGCTACCCTCCCTGACTATGCAGGAAGGCTGTGTACTCAGCCATGCAGCGCTTGAACTAGTTAACTAGTTGCCCAGACATGGTGGTTTAGTGCTGTCAGACACGCCGTAGAGGATCTGGGATATCCTCAAAAATCTTTCAAATATAACAGAGGACAAATGGAAGAGCTACAGCCTCCTGAAGCAGCAGCTGGAGGCCAAGTGGGACACCCTAAAGCACCTCAACTGGTTCTGCAGGCCTGGGGCTGGGCAACGGACTCATGCACCAGGCAGTTTATAGACTCGTCCTCACAATTCCTAATTTTCAAATGTCATGAATCTCAGGTTCTGGAATAATAAGATAGGTGTAACATTAGCGTTACAGCAAATTGGAGAACATATTAGGGCATGTATCTCATCTCTGGAAAAGGTAGGAGAGCTCTGAGGTGAGGTCCTAGAACAGAGAGTGACTCTCCCAAGCCTGTGATCAGCACAGTGGTAGAGTCAAGAACAGACACCGGGTTTTGCTGTGTCCCAGTCCCACACCACTCCCATTGGGCCATGCTGCCTTCCCAAAGAGAAATATCAGCAATCTAAATAAAGCTGTAATGAGTTTGCATTCCTAATTACTTTGGTGGAATACAGCTCTTGCTGAAAAGTTCTATTTTTAGAATATTTCCAGTAAGGATCCCAATGTTTCTTTCCAGAGACAATGTGTTTTCTGTTAATTTTAAAATAGAGGCTTAGTCTTCCACTTCCCTAAAAATAAAAATTAGCTGCAGTAAAATTAATTACTGCAATGATTTTCCCTTTGAGAGGCTGACTGCAGTAAATTTAGAGCTAAAAGGGTATGACAAGAATAGACAAGCTCACCTCAGATGACCTGAAAACCAGTATTTGTCATTGGCCTGCCTGACGTGGGCAGACCTTTATTTGGAGCAAATTAGCAAAAGAAAGTGCAGCAGAGGCATCCAAGGTAAGAATACTTGCATCTGCTTATC